CAGTTTAAATCTATGTTCGTACATTTCGATAACATTTGGCAAACAAATTCGTTGTATTATGTATGTTTTTTTAAAGTGAGAAACACTAGAAGTGACATAGAAATATTTCTTTGATTAGATGATAAGAAAAACAAAGGGATCTAATCCTGCCTAAAGTGTATATTTTCATTTTTTTTAACAAAAAAACTTATCCTTCCTACAGCGAGTAGTTGTCTTACTTCAATTTAGTGAGTTACACAAACAGGTTTCTTTCCATTTAGTAATGTTGAATGCAATAAAGACAGCTAAAAAGAAAAAGATGTTTGCTCGTTGTACTGTGTAATTATCTGTCAGTTGAGGTAGCTATACACTTGTGTATTTTTAAAAAACACGCTTTGATTTGATCGAAATGTTTACGAATATCTCTCATTTATATATATATATATATATAATGTACAAATTTCTATCGACCTTTCCATTGGGTGTATCCATGTTTCCATTCAAAGGTTATAATTTAGACAGATAGAGAGATGGAGTGATTTGAAGATCATGGAAACGGGTTAAGAACTAGAAACTGGAAAATAAAACTTTGTAAATATTCCTATCAAAATAGTTTTGGAACACGATTTGAGCAATCCAATACTTATTTTCGGTAAATATACTCATTACACTGTATTATTATTATTGTTGTTCCCTTGGCTTCCTAGTGGAACATAGGGCTTCAACTGCACGCCTCCACTTGCTTCTGTCTTCTGCTCTACTTTTCACTTGCATCCATGTTAGTCCATACTGTTTCAGCTCTTCTTCATACGATCCCCTCCATGTCACCCTTGGACGTCCCACTACCCGCTTCCATTTCGGGTTCCACTCGAGCAATAGCCTGACGCGCGAATTCACCCAGCGGCCTCCTCAGCGAGTGTTCAATCCATCTCCACTTTCTCCTGCATATTTGTTGGGCGATTGGTTCTTGTTTTGTTTGTTCCCATAGTTTCTTGTTGGTGATTCTTTCCAGCCACCTGATCTTGAGTATAGAATGAAGACAGCTGTTCATACAGGCCTGCAAGAGGCTGTGTGGAATATTCTTTGTGACCTGCCAAGTTTCTGATCCGTATAGAAGAACTGACTGACTTGACGTTTGTATTGAAAGTCCGAGTTTTGTTGTTGATGCTGAGTGACAAAGGTTTCCAGATTGGTTTCAGGCTGATGAATGTGTTTCTCGCATTCCCGATTCTCGATTTGACATCCTCGTCAGTTCCTCCTGTAGTTGAGACAATGCTCCCTAGATAAGTGAATGAAGAAACATCTTTCAAATCCCTCCCCTTGATGGTGACTGGCGCTGGATGTTGCTGTTGTTGTTGTTGGTTGGTTATTTTCATAACCTCCGTCTTGTCTATGTTCACCTGGAGTCCTGTCTTTGCTGCTTCTTCAACCAAATTTGTCGGTTTTCGTAATATGCCTCATTAAAGCTTGAAACCAACTAACATTTTTCTGTAGATACATGGATGATACTTTTATCTTGCATAAGAATAAAATTGATATTGGGATCACTGTCAAAACGTTTAACATAGCTCATCCACAATTTCAGTTCATATACGAAGCAGAGAAGGACAATGCTCTATCATTTCTTGATGTCCCGGTGACAAGAAGGCAAGATAGTGGTGTAAAGTGCGGTATTTTATGGAGAAAAAATCATGGATTGGTCAATGCACACACTTCAGATCGTTTGTTCCTCTTCCATACAAGTTGAAATCTCATCAGAACACTGATGTTTCTTCCTAGAAAAGTCTGCACAAGCAACACTCTTCACGATGAGATAGAGTGAACAGAAAACTTATTACATGAGAATGGATATCTAAGAGAATTCATGAAAGTCTCGTTGATGAGGAGATAAATATAGGGAGAAAAATGCCTGCACAAACTGCGCAGAAGAAAAGTGTAGATACGACTTAATCATTCAAAGAAGATTCTGGTACTGAAACTCCGAAGAATAATGACTTAAACGTTCTTCGCCTCACCACTCGTTTTATAATCCCAATGTAGTTGAAGGATATACTACCGAGTCTGGCCACCTCAGGGTGTATTTATAAATTTAACTTTTCTTGCAGAGATGGTTATATGGGTTAAACATGACTGTGAAAGCCCAATGTCACCTTCTTGAGCACTATCCAAAGTGGTTGGGTGAAGAAGTCGTAAACTCAATCAAGGGTACCATATTGGCACATCTTGTGCATACGTAGTACGAGATTGAAAAAATCCCAACTTTATAACACTATACGTTGTGTTACCTTAGTTCCCTAAGCTCGTACACCTTTGATTGCGAAGCATAGTGAAGGCAGTTGCCATAAAAGTTTTCAGCTGAATTATTGTGCTTAGAAATGGTTTGTTTAATCCCTCTCCCTCCCATGACCTTCAACGACAACCTATAATACTTATCCTGGTTATCGTTATTATTCCACTTACTTCCTCGATTCTGTTGAATTCTATTGATGCACAACGTTTCAGATATCTATGACTGAGGTTTTATTATGCAATTGAAGTAAGTGTGATGAGAATTTACTGAAAATACGTAATCGCTGGCTTAAATCATGTTCTAAAATACAACTTTATCCAAGAACCTGCTTGGTTTCATCGAATAAATAAGGTCGACAACAATAGTAACACTACAGTGTTGAGAATTTTTATTGATAAGTGGAGAATATTAAGGATACTGGTATTCAGATAGGAATGAACTCCGAACACCCGGTTGGTGATACGAAGACAGAAATAAGGAAAACGTGGAAAAAAAACAATCACAGTCAAGTCTATCAAGAGGGTCAATTATATCACTGATGATAAATTGCAAAAAACTTAGATCCAATTGAAGTTATCTTTGAATGTGTTATCTAGGAAGACATCCAGCTGTCAGAATACATAACAACACTGAAAAGCATGCGCGTGAGCATCTTCATTAAGGGCTGTAATGTTGTTACCAGTCTTTCCGATACAGAAGACTTAGCATTAACTAGGGTTCATATTGAATTTGATAAAAGGCTTTAGTATTATTGTTTTATCTAAATCCCTACAAATGTACTGTAAACGCTGACAGGGAGATTCTTGGTAAATCGATCAATGAGTCTTTTTCCTTGATAGACGATAATAATCTTGTTGATGAAAAGAATATTTTTTGTTCATTAATGACTTTAAAAGATTTTTATGAGTCTCTTAAATGAGGGAATTTAAAGAATAATTATGAACATACTTCTATTCACTTTAGGAACAGAAGATTCATGGAAACATGGACTGGATTTTTTCATCTAAGCTATACAGAGCGCAACAAATAGCTTTCACAGAGTATCTCAACTTCCTCCTATTCTCTGTGATTTCCTTCAGCTCCCTAGCTCCACAATTGCTCATAACTTCTCAAATCCTCCATACATGGTCTCATGCATGTTAGCTTCAGCGTCAAGCCCACCTCGTCGTTTTTCATCCGGTTTCCATTCGAGAAATGAACTGGTGGACGATGTCGCACAGCGGTCTCCCTAGAGTGTGTCCAAACAATCTCCATTTTTTTCATCATGTTCTTTGTTGCTAATCCTTCCTGACCGGCCAACTGATCTCTTCGTATCGAGTGAAGGCAGCTGTTGATGAATTTTTGTTGTAGGCTGTTCGGAATGATTTTGCTGAAGCATGGTAAAGGTGTCTGACCCATAATAAAGAACTTTACGACCTAACATTGGTATTTTGAAAATCCCAGTTGCGTTTCTTCTGCATGCTGAGTGGAGGAAATTTCCAAACTGACCTCAGAGTGATAAATATCTGTCATGACTCTCCGATTCTGACTGGATTCAACAACTTAATTCGTGGAAACGGCTAGTTTCAGATCCGGGGGCCTGGCGCATGATGCCGGTGAACGATCATCTTAGCGCCTTCACTCCCTTACCCGCTATACTTTTGCTGGCGATAGGTTGTTGTTTGATTCACAGGTAGTTTTCTTGGTTGTTGATCTTTACCAGTAGGCTGTCTGATCTGCTTTTTAGAATCGGTGAAGTTAGCTGTTGGTGGCATTCTGCATCAGGCTGTTGGAATTGTTTCTCTTGACACGACCTTCATGAAAGATTAGTGAAAGTTTGGCGTCAGGCTGGCGAACCAAGCCTAGAAGATCAGTTCAATCGCTACAGAAACCTTAGCAATTGAAAAGAACTAAAAAATCTATTCTTCTTTGGAGTCGGAGAGACTCAGGCACAATGGCTGGAGAAGATAGTCAAGCAATCTATCTTCTTTCTATTAAAGTAAAATCCCTTCTATATTGACCAGTGTTACGAACGTTAGGCAGTGAATGCCATTGAAGTCAAATGCATCAAAGGGGCTGAATTCATTACTTAAAGGTTCAATCACGAGGTTACAACAGTTAGAGAACCACTGAGAAACCTAATAATCTTGAACAGCTGTTTGTCCTAGTTTGTGACTCTTCACAGTACGCATCCACCACAGGTATTTGAACCCATGACCTTCCGATTACAAGGCGACCTCGTAAACTGTTCAACCACTGAGACCCAATCCAACTGCCCATAAATTTCAACTACTACCGATTAGCAATAAATATATTTACATATATCGCTACAGGACCAAGTAGACTGGAGTCATAGAGAGAAATCATGATCAGTAAGGTACAGCAGGTCATGGCTGAGGCCAAATACTCTCCATGGATGACATTTGCAAGTTGTCGCTTTACATCATGAAATGGCAGAAGTTGGAATTGAAGGGCTGGCCACTGGATCAGGTCTCGGTGACTGAACAGTCTATGAGCTCGCCTTATAACCGGAAGGTCTTGGGTTCGAACCCTGGTGGTGGGTGAGTACTGATGAAGAGTCACCAACCAGGAGGAAACAGCTTTCCAGTGCTCTCCAATGGTTTTCCCATGTCAGCTCATAATGAAATCCTGTAACCAATCAAATCAAATCCTTGTGAACCAATACAAGAACGTGAATTTATTGTTTAACTATAATTAATAAGTGTGATTAATACCCACTGTAAACACTCACCAATAATAAATAAATCTTCTAGTTTTGTTCTTTTTTATAACCAACTGATTCTGTACACTTTACTTCACACACTGAAAATTAAAGAAACAAATGTAATTAGGAACTCTTCTGTTATGAAATAAAGTAATACATAGAAGCCTTTCCTTGAAATTTGATATATCTATGAAATCATGTAATTAGCATCTGTCTGACTGTCAATTCAACTGAATACCTATTGAAGAAAACATATTTTGAAGTTAGGACTGAGGATATTGTCTCGGAGGACTGAGAAGGTTTACAGAACAACTCCATTTAGCTCACAGAAGACAAAAATACTACTATAATTTACTGATGTAGTTTTGAGCACAATATGTCCTTCAAAATTACATTAACCCAATCATATGTAGCTTTCCAAATTTGATCGTTTATAGTTACATTATTTCTTATCGTTTGATTTTCATTAGTAGTAATATTTTCCGTACCTTTGATATTGGTGTCGTGTCATTCTTATTGCACGGTTCAGGTGTAGATTCGACGAAGAAAGATTTAGTAGTCAAACTCTTCCAACACCTGTCTATATTTACTTTTTAGAACTGAAGTTTTGTCTCGCCTATCTGTATCGTTGTGTATGTAATAGTGAACGGAGTCTTAATTTAGGCACTAGGGTTTAGAGAGGGATATAAGTGTTCACCAACACGTCACAATTTTGTCTTGCTCACTATATTCCTATTGAGCTGGCTTCACGACCGCCAATAGCCTTCACAAAAGAATCCTCCAAATTAAGGATAGGAGGTCAGAGAAAATCGTCGGAGGATTACTTTTATGATGAATATCTTTAAATTATTTATTTATTGGTATTGTTATTGGTATCTGAAAATTATATTCACGAAGTATTGGTGGAAATTTCTTATTCGGACATATAGAACGTCAAAACAAGTGATTCAGAGATGGTTCCGTTTCCAAAGAATTTATTATCAAATTACGCAATCGTAAATATATATATGATTTTATCAATAACAATGTGAATTCTGACATAAAATAATTGGTTGGAGGATTTCACCATGAGTCGACATAAGTTAGAGAACCATTGGAAAAACTGCGAGTACTACACAGCCAGCTGTTTTCATCTTAGTTTGGGACATTTCATCAGTACGCACCCACCGCCAAGGTTCGAACCCAGGGGCAGTGGCCTAATGGTCTACGAGCTCGCTACCCTTGTAACGAGAAGGTCCTGGGTTCAAACCCCGATGGGCGCGTACTGATGAAGAGTCCCAGACTAGGCTGGCGAAACATCTGTGAAGTACTCCCAGGTTTTCCAATGGTTCTCCAACTAATGTCAGCTCATGATGAAAATCCTGTTACCAGATTTTGTATATTTGTAATTACTGGGTTTTAAAACAGCCTGTGAGAGGCGCGGCTGCTGAAACCTGAAATAGCCTCATGGCGATAGTTCATTGGTACTAGCACTCCAGAGACATCGCGTGACGGAAAATGGAGAGAATTACTTCGTTGTTAGGCTGATAAGGTGTCGTTGTACATGTGGACGAAACCGTCTTAGTGAAGAAAAAATAAAACTGTGGTCGTGAGCGAGCCAACAATGTTTGGGTGATCGGTTTATATAACACCTCCTTGCAGAAAGGATTCGTGGAGAGAATAGCAGACAGAAAGTCTATTACCTTAGTACCTACTGTCACTCGACTGGTGAAACAGAGATCTTTCATGTGATTGGTTCGTTGAAGGTCGTCCGCTGATTGGTAATTAGTGGTGCCTAAAGTTTAACCTTGGCATCTTAATCTGTCTATGCTAAAGTATGATAGTCCCTATTTATACTTTAACCTTAGTTCTTCTTCGTTTTGTGCTTATTCAATTTGTATATCCCTGCTTTAGTATGCCGACTATTATGACTAATTTTACTTTGAACAATTTCCAGTATTATCTCACTTTTATTTATTTAATGTTTTATAATCTTTTGCAGTGTTGCTTCATAATTCTCACTTTGTTGTGTAGTGTTTTTAATTGTCTACTAATCGTATTGCTCCTATAATATTTTATGAATTATTATATAAAATGCATAACCAATACATAACTGCTCGGGAGTGGTCAGGTAACAATCACTGATTTGGATCCCAGTGGCTGAGAGTTAGTGGGCTCGCATTGATACAACCGGAAGGTTCTCAGTTCGAAATATGGTGTACAAGTATTCATGACCACTCCTTAACTAGGACAAGATAGCTGTTCAACACTCTGCAGCAGGATTTCAAGCAGTAATCAAACTTGATACAAATCGAATCCATACAAATTAACCCTTGAAAACAACCAAATATTTTTGTCGCGACTCACATCATGATTAAAAATCACATATATATGCATATAAATTTGCTGTAAAGAGACCTTTTACTTATTCACTAACCTGGCTGTCCTTTAGCATATCTGAAGGTGTCTTTCTCACACATAAGATTACATGCATTCGATTTGCCTAAAATATCGCAAAAATATGCGTAAGTTACGAAATAATGCTTTAGGTATATGAAAACAACACAATTGTAAACCACTATGGGGGTTTTACATTTCACAAGAAATGGAAAGCAAACCGATATTGTTATTACTGAAGTTTCGCTATTTAGTACTAATAGCCTTATATGATTTTTTATTGTTCCCTAGGGTCCCAAGTGGAGTCCTCTTGTAGTCCTCTTCAGCTGTCTCTAAAATTGCCTGTAGGTACTCATATCTTCCTCACAATAACTCCCCCATGTCGCCCTCGGGACTTATGCCCAACTCGTTGTTTTCCATTCGGGTATCTCTCAATGAGAAGCCTGGCGTGCGATGTCCTCCGACAGTCCCCTCAGCGTATGTCTGTGTTTCCCATCTCTCTCGATTTCATTATGTAAATCAATGCTTTATTATTTCTTAAAACTATCAAATGCATCAATCTACACATGGTTTTGTTGTCTTTACCATTTGACTAACTTGGCAACATAAAATTAAATCATGCTGAAGAATGGTGATTAAGTTGGTACACATAAGCTTATTATTATTGTTTCCTTTAATTCATGGAGTAACATATGGCTTCAGCCGCACTTCTCCATTGCGTCCGGTTCTCTGACAACATTTTCACTTGGCTACACGTCTCCTCAAAATGCTTTCATCTCCTCTTCACATGACCTCTTCCACGTTACCCTTGCACTGATGACCAACTCACTGCTTCTCATTCAGCCGGGTTCCACTCGAGCAGTGGCCTGGCGTGTAATGTTACTTAATGGTTTTCCAGAGTATGGCCAATCCACCTCCGTTTCTTCCTGCAAATTTCTTGCACAATTGCTTCCTGCTGGGTTGGTTCGCTCATTGCCAGAGACCCCTGCCTGTTGCCTATTTTTGAGCGGAGACAGCTGTTGATGAAGGTGTGTAGTTTGTTCGAAGTACCCTTCGTGACCTGGCGCCAAGTCTCTGATCCGTATAGTAACAATGACTTGATATCCGAGTTGAAAATCCGGGTTTTATTTTTCATGTTGAGTGCTGTTGATTTTCACACAGACGTGAGAGCAATGAAAGTTCGCCTTGCTTTCCCGATCGATCCTCACTTTGATATTCTCGTCAGTTCCATCCGCCTGTAAATGAAACGATGCTTCCCAGGTAAGTAGGTGTAAAGGAGTTTGCTTCTTTCAGATTTCTCCCATTTATGCTGATTGTTGTCTGTTTTTATTGCTTTGGCCATTGCTGTAGGCCAGGAATCTTCATCATCACCTCTGTTTTCTCTATATTCACTGGAAGTCTTATCTTTAATGCTTCTTCTGCCAACCTGTTGCTTTTCACTTGCATATCTTCCAGTTTGTCGGAAATCAGACAAATATCACATGCGCAAAGTCCAGATCCTCCAAGCTTGCATTTTGTATATTATGAAATAATAAATTTTTATTTTTTATTTTATTTTCTATTATAGCTTGATTCCACACAGTATTTTGTTACAAGTATGAGATTTTCAGTATCCGATATCGGTAGCTCAAATTTAGCAGGCTGACCATTGATGTCAACTGTGCGTCTGCTGGGGATCGAACCCCGGACCACCTTTATCTTCGGCGAGTGTCTTAACCACTCTGTCACCGACGCATAAAACCGGCATCACTCGGTATTTCCAGCCGGTCACTAATGCAAGTACTATCCAGGCCCAACGTTGCTGAACTTCGATGATCGGACGAGATCCAATGCTTTAGACGTTATATGGTCACTGACATAGCGATTATCGTCGAAATGTGTGTGAAAACAGCACAATTTTGTCTTTCATTCATCGGGAAATACAAAAACTTCTATGATAAAATTGAATATCGTATACTCTATGCCCAAATCGTTTTGAATTTTTAAACGCGAACTTGATGTGGACATATATAATACAAATACGAGCTTCTATCAGTACATTCAACCTTCGACAAACTGTTCACTTAATAACTTTCACATTGTTCTTGGCTGTATTATGATAGTGAACAACCGTTTAACGATGTCTTTAGCAAATGAGATAAAAACGAATTCCTCCAATTCCGTAATCGCATGAAGCCATACACACTACTAACCGACTGATTTCAGTAGTTGGGTACAGCTCACGTGGATACAAACTGAAAACCAGCCAGCCATATCTAACCAAAGAACATCCACTTCGCCCCTATGAGGTCGAGTTCATCAGCGGTGTAGTTGGTTCTACTCACTTCAGACAACATTCAGATCGCCATACGAGATCTCGTTGACACCATACGTGACTAATAAGAAGGCGAGTCAACTAGTTTGCAAAATTTACTAATTTAGTCTAGGGCGTTAGCATTTCGCCTAAGTAGTCAACTGAACTTAGAGCGGTTTAAAGTGACTCGGCTTTCAAAGTCCAGTGAAACGTGATACAATGTTGATGAACTCAGCTCCATAGGAATGAAACAGAATTTTGTTGTTGAGATCACTTAGATCTGTGGGCAGTTATGCTCACAAACGTGATTGCCACGTATGGCTTCAAAGTAGATTATATCGTATATTGAAATTTATTTTCCATTTGTAAAGGCAAAGGAATGGCAAAGTCCTCTTTCAAAACGAATTCATTACTTCACAAATATCAGGTCTTAAGCAATAAAACGACAGACTTACCATCTCTGCCAGGAGGTCCAGCTGGTCCTGGTGGACCTGTAAGAAATAGAAATGGAAGATTTATCGACAAAATGTGAAACTGTAAATCCTGAGACATGAGACATGAAACCTTAAATGAACATTGAATATGGTGGGAGACATAATCTGTGACATCCCTACGTAGAGAACTTCGTCACCGTTAGTGGTGATTAGCGTTGTTTGTTGATGTTGTTGATTTGTTATCTTCATCACTTCCGTCTTCTCTATGTTCACCTGGGGTCCTGTCTTCACTGCCAGCTTCTTCTGCCAGTTTGTTGGTTTTGCCTGTAAATCCTCGAGTTTGTTTGACATTAAACACAATGCATCCACGTGCGAAATCCAGATTTTTTAGAGTCTTCTCATCGGTGGGCCAGAGTACTGCTGAATCCTCGCTACCCATAATCTAACGCATTATCCAGGTCACCACAATTAAGAATAACATTGGAGATAATATGCCGCCAGCGTGTCTTATACCTGTATGCACTTCGAACGTCTCGCTGAGTTTTCCGTTGTGGATCACTTGACACGTGGTACTGCCATATAGCCAGCTGCTGTATCAGGTTAATAAAGACTTGGGCATTGCGCGCTGTGGTGTTCCAGTAGTTTCCAAATTACTTCTCCATCAACACTGTCTGGTGAAGGCCTTTTCGAAGTCGATGAAGTAGCGATTTGATCAGCAAGTTACTCACCTTTCCTGAATCCAGCTTGTTCCGGGTTGGCGAAGTTTTGTATTCACTGCATCGTTTATTCTCTCCTAAGGATGATGCGACTTAGTATTTTACTTGGCGTAAATGGACAACACCATTATTCCATGTAAGTCAGTTCTCGCACTGGCCTAAGTGTTCAGATTAGATGAGCTGACATTAAACTGTTGATGATTCTTACTACACAAAACTCACAGTTTCATAAAAATATGGTCAATTCAATTGACTCGACATAAGCGGTTGAATCAATAGATAAGAGAAGAGGTGACTAGCCTAGATACTTTGTCTTTCGGTTGAGGAATCACAACTGGTCTTTATCAATTAGTAATTGCATTATCTTATTATTTTATTTCTTCAAACTTCAATAATTTAATTTTAGTACTTAAACACCGTTTATCAATTCAACCAGAGGAGATAGTCGTCAAAACATATCGTTAAAGGAAATGAAATTAGCCTATAAGTGAAAAAAAAGATTGAAATTTATTCATACCAAAGTCATGAATGCATGATAAATTTGTCTAACTAAACTAAGATGAGTTGATCTAAGTAAAGAAACAAAAAACTAGATGCGGTATTAATTGAATCAACAACCGAAATAATTGTACTTGTTACTTCATCATTGCATTATAAACCTTTCATTCTTCAATTTTTATGTAGAAGAAGAATAATGAGGAGAAAAAAAGCTGCATTTTTTGTTTTAAACCCTCTTTATCATCATTATTTTCAAATTTGGCGCTAGGGAAACAGCGCGGGAAAATTCAATTTTAAGCTGAACTAAATTGAATAAATGAAATAAGTCAAGAAATAAATTAAAACATTCTGTTTTTTTTAAGAAGACAATTTTGATAAAAATAAGGAAGAAAATGAAAAAAGCCCAGTGCTCAGGACTACACAAAAGTGAATAGGAGAAGATGTTTGTGGCATTTGTGTTGATTAGCGTGGTAGAAAGGCAGAAGAGTTAAAATGCGCCTGTCAGTCAATTCATCTATCTTAAATAGTTGGTTCTTTTTCAAACAAATTGAGGTAAATTAAGGAAAGAGATAATTTAATAGGATCTTTCTTCGGAATGCATCCATCTCTCTGTCAATATATATATATATAATTCATACTTACTGTGGTTACACAATTGGAACATTCATGGGAATAATAAATTTCTCATCATATATCTCTTACTCCTCTTAGTTTTCCATTTGTAAATGAGAAATTAACTATGTTATGTGTTTGTAGAAGACATTTTACCGAAAGCCCCTAACATACTTTGAAAAAAAGGCTCTTACTAATTGCCTTGTCAGTCTAAATACACATAAATGTCTGAAGGGATTTTATTGAGCTGAATAATTTACATTTATGAATAATTAAAGATGACTAGTGGAAATTAATGATCAAATTTATGATCTAAAAAATTAAAGATAATCTAAGGTTAACAGACGGTTGAGCACTACCCATAATAATCACAGTGAAATAATAAGCAGTTGGTTCGCATGAAACAATACTGAACTAGTAATCCAGAGGGGTTGAGGTTTGAGTCCTTTCGGGATCAAGATCATAAATTCAACTGTAGAGGGAAAAGGTTCTTCGGAAAATCCCTCAAGAATGATGCAGTTGCAATATTTATAGTTTCCCGGTGGGTGCGTGCTGCTGAAGAGTCCCATACTAGGATGAAACAGCTGTCCAGTACTCCCAGGTTTTCAAGTGGTTCTCTAACTGATGTCAGCTCATGATGAAATCCTCCTCCCCACAAAACCAATACTTGAAAATTATTCTGATGCTCACTAGCGACTGGCCCTATTCAGGCATTTAACCTGGGGTTCTAGTGGGAAGCCGTGACCAGTAGGGTATAGCAGGTTGACAATGAGGCGGCAACGCATCGAAGAAGACATTGTGAAATGGTCATGCTATGTCGTAAGTTGGCAGAAGTTAGAATTCAAGAATCATTGGATCGAGTCCCAGTGGCTCAATGGTCTACGAGCTCGCCTTGAAACCAGAAGGTCTTGGGTTCGAACCCCTGTGGTGGGTGCGTACTGATGAAAAGTTCCAAACTAGGACGAAGCAGCTGTCCAGTAATCCCAGACTTTCCAGTGGTTCTCTAACTGATATCAGCTCATGATGAAATCCTCCATGCAATCAAAGCAAAAATAGCAAATGTTTGTGCAGAATAATATCAAGGCCATCATTCATCTCGTCATCAGATTCCCTTCTACTGCTTACTCATGAAAAATTGATTGTGTAAATGCACGCAGAGTATTGTCACACTTCCAGCAAGGATCAGTTTGACTTTTTATTAACAGATACAAATGTTAATAAGCAATGATAAGAAGTTCCACTTATATAGGTCGAAGTTCAAACATACAGAATGAATGGTCGGATACATTGATAATTGAGTTGCACAGTCAAGACAACAAGAGGAGAGAATTTGATGGTGATGAGTAATGGTGTGGTGAGTTCAACTAAAGACATAGAAACAAAAGGGAGCTGAATTACACCAAGGCAAAATTTTTGGATTAAGGTGGGTTGATTTTTCTTAGTTTTGATTATAGCTTGATTCCACACCGTATTTTTGGTACAAGTATGGAATTTTCAGCTTATGATATCGGTAGCCCAATTTTGCAGGCCGACCATTGATATCAGGTGTGCGTCGGCAGGGGATCGAACTTCGTACCATGTGCATGATCGGCGAGAGTCCTAACCACTGTGCCGCCGACTCACCGTTGAAAGCAAAAGATTATGTAGTCAATCGAGACAAAGAGAACAGACTTTGAGTCATTAAGGCAAAGAAAGATCAATAAGTGAATCTTTCTGTACACACAAAACCCAGGTTTCGAAAGTTTATTAGCGACTGCTCTGACGAATTTGAGGAGAGTTGCGTTGTATTGTTTCTTAATAAACATGAAGGATTTCACGCTGTCTACTAAACAAGGTGTCTGGCAATATCCCTCTTCAAAGCATTTGTTTTTTAGAGATGCAAAAGTTTTGCTATGTGTTCAGAGAATCTGAGACATTCCCTTCTTTCAGTTCTCTTAACGTAACTGCTCACGCAGATACACATAAATTTGTATACACAATCAGGGTTATCGTGGAAAACACACATAAGGGACATTAGAAAGAAGAGAATACGAAGTTCAGTATAGATATCTTTTCGGCGATTTCATTTTCAAAAGCTTTCCAATGGTATTTAAATACATAATTTTACATAGATACAATTCTTATTTGTTTCCACATAATTACGAAGGCAGATAAAAGGTGACAATTATTTTCAACTAGATATGGTTTACGAGAGGCTTGGAAACAAAATTTTTACGAGCTTGCCTTTCAACGGGAAGGTCCTCGGTTCAAAGCTCATTGGGGGGATACTGCCGGCTGTTATTTCTCCTAATTTGTCTGATATTCTGAGTGAAGGGTTTAGATTTGACGTTCCTGAAACAGCATATATTCTTTTTCATAACCCTTATTCTTTGATTATTATGGATGGATGTAAAACTGTGGAAGCTGATGAAGAGGAATTTATCGATTTTGAAGTGCATATCACCAACCAGGTAACTGAAATTATCACAGCTTACTGCGAATACAAACCAGCCAGCTATGATTATGCACAAAAGCACTCAACTTTGGTGCGAAAAGTTATACTTTGAACTAGAATCGATAAAATATTACTAATGATGACATTTGAAACCCTTCAAAATGCTGAAAATTAATACTGAACTTACCCTTTGGACCTTGTAACCCAATCAATCCACGTAAACCAGGTGGTCCTTGTGGACCAGTTTCACCTTCAAAGAAAATAATTATCATTTAGAAAAGTAATTAGGATTAGGTGATAAGACTGCAGAAGAGAACACATTGTAATTGGAAATAAAACCAGCATTTTAGTTGCTCTTAAAGTATTAGATAATAAATTGACTTACATCAAGCTCCTAAATCTTTGAAGATCGTAACATTTCTATTCAATTTAGATATAATCGGAATAATAATTCGTGAATACAAAATAGGAGGTTTTATAACAAGCCTTAAGACTCACCATAATATTTACAATTAATCTAAACCGTGTCGAGTGCAGCTCGACCATTCAAAATGATTGTTGGCTTATTTGAATTGTCCTGTTGTATTCCGAAGGGGAAAATGCGGCTTCAGAAGCATATCTCTATTTATTTATTTATTTTATTTTGATTTACAGCTTGGTTCCACACCGTATTTTCAGTACAAGTATGACATTTTCAGCATGGATATCGGTAGCCCAAATTTCGCAGGCCAACCATAGATATCGGGTGTGCGCCGGCAGGGGATCGAACCCCGGACCATGTGCATGGTCGGCGAGAGTCCTAACCACTGTGGTCCTCTTCAGCTGCCCTCAAGATCTCAAAAATGGTTCCACCTCCCTCTCATGCGATCTCCTCCACGTCACTCTCCAATTCACACCCATATCGTGATTTCTCATTCAAATTCCACCCGGCCGATGGTCTGCCTCACTATACCACCAAGTAGTGTCCGATTCATCTCCATCATCGCGTGCGTTGGTGGCACCAACCATGCAATTGGTCCGGGGTTCGATTCCCGGCTGACGCACACCCGATATCAATGGTAGACATGCTAAATTTAGCCTACCGATATCACATGCTAAACATTCCATAGTTTTGTCAGAATACTGTGTGGAATCAAGCTATAATAAAGTTTTTTAAAATAAATTATCCTCCATACATTCGCTGAGAAAAAAGCCATTTATTCGAATGTTCATGGGGTTTCTTGCTGCTGATTCATTCTCGCTAGCCATTTGGTCTTCAATTTGAAGCCACAGAAGCCATCCGTTAACAGATGTCTTCAGTAGCCTGTCGGAAATGCTCTTTTTGATCAGTGAGCCAACTCTCTGACTCATATAGAAGGACTGACTGAATTACCATTGGTGTTGAAATTCGAATTTTCTTCCTTTTACATGTTGAGCCCAGTAGATTTCACAAATTGATTTCCGAGAGATGAGTGTCTGTCTCGCTATTCTGACCTTGGCCAGTTTTGACAACCTCACCCATTCTGCCTCGCCTGTAGTTGAATAGATGCTTCCTAGACAGCTGAAGGAATTCAAATCCCTCGAATTGCTTTGGTTGTTAGTAACTGCTGCTTGCTGTCGTTGTTTTTAGTTGGTAATTCTCATCACGTCAGTCTTCTTTATATTTCCTCGGAATCCTGTATTTGCAGTTCCTTTTGTCAACTTGTCGGTTTTCTTCTGTATATCTTCGGGTTTGTGTGACATTAGGCATAAATCATCGGTGAAATTCACATCCTCTTAGTGTCTTTTTATAGATCCAACATATTTCTGACTTCTCGGTTGCTATAAATTTCCAAATAATCCAGTTTGCCGCCATTAATTTATGTTTCCTAAAGCTCATGACTTTAGTAAACGTACAAAAATTGTTAAGAATGCAAATACTTTAACTGGAGGTGACAAAAACTAAGTGAGCTAATAGGCAGTGAACGAATCCCTACCGACTATTATATAACACATGTTAAGATGAATCTTATGGCAGTACTTTATTAAATTAATATGTGTAACCTTTGCGCATTATTGTGGTATATTATTTCATAATTAATTCGTTTATTGGATATATGACACAGGGAGAAAGTCTTATTTACTGGATCCAAACGTCGCATAAATAATTTGTTGTTGATAATCTAATTATTAGTTGTTACTTTTTAACTTAGAAACTTAGTTCTTAAAGTTCTTGTTCATTTTCTTCATTCGTCATAAGGGTAGTAGAATACTTTCTATGTGTGCGACAGGTGCTGAATCATTCTGAATGCACGAATTCTCAGTTTGACGAATCGTTATTATCTCGCTTTATCCGGTTACACTAGAATTCAGTTCTGTCACAACGTTTATTTATGTGCAGTTGCTTGCAGCGCTGTAGTTAGGCTTTTTTTCCTAAATTTCCTGTCTAGTCTACGTTTTACTATGTTTTTCCGCTCCTATAATCCCAATGACCCCGGTTTAATGCTTATACTTTTGACATCGAAATCATCCAAGGGTAGAACATAAATTATGTTTTTCAATGAGCTCCACATGTCCCTTTAACTGATATTACTGAAATAACACTGAATTCAAGGAGCTCAAAACACTATCAGTGCTTCAAAACAAAGAGTTGACCTTTGAAGCCTTATGTAAAAGTGACATTTACACCTGCAAAATCACTTAGAAGGGAATTATATCAGTTAGGGGATTCTGTGAATTCCATTAAACAAAATGGTAGCATCATGGTATTCTGCCCTGGAGAGCTTTTCTTCACATCTTAGATGTGAAGACAAAAGTATTCACACCAGTTTACCGCGGTAGCTGATGATTTTATTTAAAAAATAACATACCTGGAGGTCCTCTTTCACCTGGTGTGCCTGGTTGACCCGGTGGTCCTGGAGGTCCTGAAAGTTTTAAGAGAAAATACACATTAGACTATACCATCAAATATCTAAAAAGAAACAATATTTTCACTGCCAGATGTTAAGCCTCTTCATCCACTATGATGACGCCTCTAACAGCGTTGATCACAAGGTGATTTGGAAACTACTTCAACACTATGGAGTAAAGCGCACCAAATCCTCATCGACCTCATTTGGTAGTTACATGGCAATGCCACATGTCAAGTGATCCACAGTGGAGAACTCACTGAAGCCTTTGAAGTGAAGACAGTAGTGAATCAGTGGCTGTTTACCATCACCGATGATATTTCTAATTGTCGTGGATTGGATTATGTAGCACATCGTATTTGAGGAACGTGGAGAAAGGAATACGTTAGACCGATAAGAAGACACATGGAAAGCCTTTCGAACAGGCAACTGCAGATGTCAATGGACGTGAACATTGAACGTTTGTTTATTGGAACTGGTAGCCATTGGTGGGCAACACGAAGGCGCGAATGGTTCAATCGTGTACAAGTTTGAAGAAGATGAAAGAATACGAATAAAAATTTGTAATTGTCTTTACTTTAATTGCCAAACAATATAACTTACAAAGGAGTACTGGTGTTTTGGAGTTAAAGTCGAGAAAAGTACATCGTAATTATCGATTCGAAGCGTCTTCGTTACAATAGGAACATAGGGTTAAGTTCCTTGACAGCAGAATTTTACTAATAGCTGTCTTCTCTGGCTCCACAATGTAGATCACAAAGTATTAGTAACATTAAACTCCGTGAACTCGCCGATTTACAACCTGTTGAAGGGAAATTGCTCGAAAGGAGCCCAAACTGGGAACGACAAGATGAACATCACGTCGAGAATGACATGGAGAAGACTGTATGGGAAGCGGAAGGAGGCTTGTGGACAGCTGAAAAGGACTGCAGAAAGCGGGACAAAATGGATATGTGCTATTGGAAGCCCTATATTCCACTCAAAATCTAAGGGAAAATTAATATACATATGTATATATATGTATATGAACAGATATTACCACACAAGACTAACCAGAAAATATACACTGTAAGTTCTGTCAATGTCTTCTATAAATTAACTGAGCAGTCGATGCACAGGAAACTTAAAATATCTGCCTTTTCAAGACACTGAAAATATGGGAGTTATTTAAATGACCTGAAAATATCGTACAACGAAATTAGTGATAGCTGAAGGGAATCAGAATACCAAAAAAGAGGAACGAAAAGGCGGTCATTTCAAATGACCTTTGAATCAAACACCACATAAAATTCGTTCAGAAATATCGTCATTAAGCCATGGAACTTCCACTGGACATCGTTCCCCCAACGAAGGCAGGAGTCTTGAATGCCATAAAATTACTAAAAGCCACCTATATTGCAAAACCTAATGGAAGATAGTTGTAGGCAGTAATGGACATCAGTCTAGTTGGGAGGAGGTAAGAACTTTAGACAAAGCGGAAATTCTAAAAATGCCGGCGAATTTCGAGAATAAGTCTAGTAGTCAGACGAATCAGCGATTAACAAGCGTATTATTGATGACCAAAGTTATCAACCAATAAAATATTAACTACATGAGAAGAAATTTCAAATTTCAGGTCAATAAAAACGATCAGTGTAAACTGACAACCAACCATGACAGTGGTTGCCGGGAGATACAACTGTTTCATCATTCATAGATAATTCAAACGAGTTTATTTCTTATTAAAGCGTGAGCTGAAGATGCTGTGCAGGGAGACAACGAAACCTTTGCAATTAAATCAACGACCTCTGAAACTGGTTTTTGTTCCTGTTGACAGTCATCAGTGAGACGTATCTGCATCTTTGCTACAGAGAGCTAGAATCTAAGAAGGGACGTTAGACCTCTCTCAGGTGACCTTGATCCACAGCTCCCTGTCGATTTCTCCAAATTAAATAACATTCCTTTCAAATATGCGCCATCATGATGAAGCAACTATTTTAGTGACTTCATTGCAAACTCCAGTGATACAACTGCCAGTCATTACCAACACCAAAGACATTAAATCGAATCCACATTTCACAAAGTGATTCTCTGCTTACAGTTGACACATTTCGAGGAGGTGAAACTAAGTCAGAGCTTCATTTTAAAACCGAAATTGTTCAAATATATGATTTTATACATAACTCAATAAACGATGAAGGCACTCAAATCAACCGGTACAGCTTCCTACCCAGACTGAAGTGACTTGAGTCCAGTTGGATACACCACTGGTTAGCTCAACTCAGAATGATCTAAACAGCCGTCGAATGTTAAGATCACTGCGAACTGCCAAGTTGGTAAGTACTACTGATTGGTGTGAGTACTATTCAACTACTCGTATCCCTGAGTCAATAGTATACAGTACTACGAACACTGACTATTCCAAGATGAGAGGGAATTTAAAAATGTCTTGAAAACCAATCATTAAAAAAAAATTAAGAACACCTTTCTTTCGAAAAACTGAAAACTTCTCCTTGCAATCATGCATTGCATTATCAAGGATCCTATTTATTCAGCTGAAGTATGTTATGTTAGATAGAATTGATTTTTGAGTAACTCTCATTACTAATTGAAATCAAACATTGACAAACACTTGAGATAATTATCCTAAATTCGTTTGTTTTTCTATGGCTCTCTGAAGCAGTTAAATACTTGGAGAAAAGTAGGCTATACTAGGTTGCACTACTTTTCTCAATTTAAATTGCTTAAACAAAAATGACGCCATAAAACATAAAATTATTCCTTTGTGTCAAAATCATCAATTGAATCAAGTGTTAAGTTTAAATCTATCGTCATCACCTCACTGTTTTTTTAAATAATGGAGAAAAACTGCTTTTGCTTAACCTTGAACCTTCACTGAAGTCTTTTAATGACCCTAGGCAATTTGCTAATAAACATACAGGGTGTACTTTGGATGCCACTGTTGTCTAACATGTTCAAAGTACTGTGTTGGATTAAGACAGAGGTGCCAAATATGTTCAGTGTGCCTTCCTTGATTACACATCCGTCTTTGAATCTGTATCTGGGTATTTTATCTTAAACAAGCATGCCACAATACAAGCAGAGTGCTGTATTAATAAATGGTTACATTCTTGCTTTTCAGATGGGTAATAGTAAACTGTATGTAGTGAGAAGTCCTCCACCGCTCCATTTACTCTAGCTGGTGTTCCTCAAGATGCTGTTCTTTCTCTCTTTATGTTCTCTTTCTTTCTGTATGACTTGCTTCGTTCTAATGTAGCCAATTTTGCTAAGTGTGATGATGATGCAACTGTATACATGTCTGTTTATTCTCAATCAGATTGTTCCTTAATGAATAACGTTTTGCTAGAAATTATTCTGTGGTCCTTATCAAATGCTCATGAGGTAAATCCCTCTTAACGTCAAGTTGTAAATTTCACTTTCAGCTACATGCGCGACTTAGATGAACTGGTTCCTTTGCATGATTGTCTTATCATATATGGCACAGAAGTTGGAAGTAGAACGATACGTAACTTAGATTGTATGCTTCTTATTGTCTTTCCTCGTCTTCCTACATCGTGTTAGTTAGACTTCCTACGTAGGGAAGTTAAGACACTCTGACATCACTAAGTCTCCATTGCTACAGTTTGTTAATTCTTGTATCCTACGTATTTCTCTTCATTGCTCCCCCTCTAGCTTAATCTTTCTGGGGCTACTTAAGAAAGACTGTGTAACATTGCGAAGGGCATTAAAAGATGTCATTCAGGTAACTGGTGTGTCTCTTAATCAGTTTTTTAATACTGTTTTAGACAGACACATAAATTCATGCCAGAAACTGGCAAATATCATCTTGTCGGATCTTGCGCATCCTCTCTACACATAGGTCTTTCCTTGCATCCCATCAGGCAGAACTAGACGCTACCTACAAAAACCAATACTTTAAAAGTCGATCTGATGTTCACCATCGATAGATCTTATTCAGGCAGTTAACCTGAAGTTCTAGTGAAAAGCCATGACTAGTAAGGTGCAGCAGATTGAAGGTGAGGCAGTAACTCATCGAAGAGGACATTGCGAAGAGGTAGAAGATACAATCCATGATCTGGCCGATGGATTGGGTACCAGTGGCTTAATGGTCTACGAGCTCGCTATCCTTGTATCCAGAAAGTCCCGGGTTAGAAGCCCCCTCGAAGGGGAGTGCGTACTGATGAGGGTCAGAAGTAGCACAACATAGAAGAGCTGTGCAAATGATGCTTTGAATATAAGGTGTACATACTTTGACTATACAGAGATACCAAATCTTTTTAATTGTTGGTTAGTAGGAATTTGATTGACTGGTTACAGGATTTCATCATGAGCTGATATTGGTTATTGAACCGTTGGAAAATTAGCTGGGAGTACTGGACAGCCGTTTCACTTTATTTTGGGACTCATTAGCAGTATGCAGCCGCCGGGGTTTGAACTTGAGTCCTTCTGGTTACAAGACGGGCTCGTAGACCACTGATCCATTAGGACCCGATCTAATAGCCTATGAACCTTGAACCTTCCTCGAAGTCGTTCATTGACCCTAGGCGATTTGCTAATAAACATACAGGGGTGCTTTAGATGCCACTGTTGTCTTGCATCATCAAAGTATTGTCTTCGATTTAGACAGAGGTGCCAAATATGTTCAGTGTGCCTTCCTTGATTACACATCCGTCTTTGAATCTGTATCTGGGTATTTTGTGTTAAACAAGCATGCCACGATACAAGCGGGGTGCTGTATTGATAAAAGGTCACATTCTTGCTTTTCAGATAGGTGACACTACACTGTATATAATGAGAATTCCTCCACTGCTCCATTTACTCTAGCTGGTGTTCCTCAACTTGTTGTTCTTACTCTGTTTATGTTCTCTTTCTTTCTGCATAACTTGCTCCATTCTGATGAAGCCAATTTTGCTTATGGCCTGACTGTTTCTATGCTTGTTACTTCTCTGACAGACTGTTCGGAAATGAGTAACATTCTATTGGTAATTAGTCAATGGTCCTGGTCAAATGGTCTT